AGTACAGGCTAAATATCTTTTATCCAAAATGCTTGCAAACAGATATGTTTCAGATTTGAGTTTTTCAGATTTTGAAATATTTGTACCGACTCTGTTAAGCATCCATAATCCAAAAATCTGAAGTACAAAATGCTGTGAAAATTGTACTCAATTTATTATATTCCCATATTTAACATTTATCAACCTCTTCATCCTCTCCCAGTGAGCATCTCTTTGAATTCTAATTGTTCACCTTCCATCTCTAAGTTCTTCTTTACTACCTTCTTAGTAAGGTAGGTGTCAGTTTCAAGGATCCCCAAACAAACCCTAGTAGGCCATATTAAGGGAAATGAACCCTGATTTGTAGCCTGAACCCTAGTAAAGATTTTAATAAAGAGATTTAAAAAATTTTGAATATAGATTGAGTACCTCTTCCCGGGAAATGCTTGCAACCAGAATTGTTAAAGATTTTAAATTTGAGGGGAAGGGGGCTAATTTTGGAATCTGGGGGGGGGAGGTACGTACATACATACATATAAACATATACACACACACACATATAATATTCAATATCTTGGGACTATCCAAGTCTAAACACAAAATACATAAACACTTTATATATGGGCTGAAGGTAATTTTATACAATATTTTAATATTTCATGCAATATTTAATATTTCATGAATAAAATATTTTATACATGAAACAAAATCTGTTTACATTTAACAATCAGACTTGTGGCATCACGTTACTGCTCAAAGCATTTAGATTTTGGAGATGTAGGACTCTGGATTTTCTGATTAGGGATGCTCAATTGCAATTCTTCCTCTATTAATAAACATCTGCAACTACCTCTTCCTCCCACCCCTTAGTTTTAGTTCAGGACCAAAGAAACTAAATAAATAAGTTAGATAAAAAAAAATATATAAGAGAAACTAATGGCCAAAAAAAGTTTCTTATTCCTTCAACTATAAATTAAATACTCAGAATCATAGGTATTCCATTTCCTCCTCCCTCACAGAGGTCCACTCTGCTCAGATGAACCTACCATACACATGAACAGAAAATGTATATCCTAAAAATTGGGAGTTTCAAAACGAACCAGAGGGCACCTTTCTCCTAGCTTCTTCAAATGCTCATTTGGGAAAGAATTTCAGAGGCTTTTTGGAGCATAGAGGGGAGGGGGACAGGACTATTTCAAAAAGAAAATTTCCTACTTTATGACTCACAGTAGAAACATGGGGAAAGGAAAACAACGCTCCCTCCAACAAGCACAATTTTCACCAAAAAAAAAAAAAAAAAAAAAAAAACCTCAGAAATGGCAAAACTCTCAGACAATAACACCTCACAAACATAATAAATATCTCCTACTCTTTTGAATTCTATTCCAGATAGATAGAGATTGGAGCTTGATGTGTGAAGACAGGATTAAATCGAAGAAAATCAAGTCTGCAAACTCCCTAAGCAGTTCTGATTAAAAACCAAATTCCATGTAGTCTTTACATAAGTTATTACAAATTTAGTTGTAAAAAGCAGTATTCTTTGTAAAACTGAACAATAGAAAAAAAGGGTTCTTAACCATTTTGTCTTCATTTTCAAAACTCTGTCCCCTCACTTAGCTTTCTCTTACCTTACTCTCCAGTGAGGACTCTCACTTTGCCCTCCAAATATCTAAGATCCACCTCATACTTAGACCTGACATCTAAAGCTCCCACTCCCCACTACCCAACTAGGTATGAATCAGATTAAAGTACTTCTCATTAATGGGTAAATGAGTTTTAATCCACAAGGTTACTAAGCTCTACAATGCGTAAGGCACAAAATAATCAAAGTACCTATTCCTAGAAAAACTAATTAATCAAAATCAATCTTGCAATGGACAATGTATGAAAGAGACATAAGAGTGCCTGCTTTACAACACACTTTCTTCATCCCATTTGAAAACGCCCCCTCCCCATCTGCCAGGGGATCAATATTTTTTCCAGTAAAAATGAATGTCTTGGGCTGGGGTTGTGGCTCAGCGGTAGAGCTCTCATCTAGCATGTGCAAGGCCCTGGGTTTGATCCTCAGCACCACGTAAAAATAAATAAAATAAAGGTATTGTGTTCAACTACAACTAAAAAGCAAATATTAAAAACAAAAGAATAAGTTAGAAAATTTTTTTAAAAAGTGAATGTCTAGGAAAGCAACATAGAATGGCACAGCCAATAATAAACATTCAAATTCTGAAATGGACTATAGAAAGACTCCAAAATTTAAACATTAGTTGCAAGTACATAAAAGAGTTTTTAAATCAACCAATTTCCTTACAAGATACCTATATTTAAATTTTGCTCAGAACTCTGAATAATAATAATTATATTAATAAAAATATTATTATTTCTTTTTGGCACTGGGGATTAAACTCAGGGGCACTTAACCACTAAGCCATGTCCCCAGCCTGTTTTATTTTGAGACAGGTTCTTAAGTTGCTTGGGGCCTTGCTAAATTGCTGAGGCTAGCCTCAAACTTATAATCCTCCTGCCTCAGCCTCCCAAATCACTGGAATTACAAGTGTGTGCCACCATGCATAGCTAGAACCCGGAAAAGCCATAAATACTGACAGCCTTTCCTTCAGTTATTTCTACAGTTAAAATGTTAATATAGTAGTCCCTCCTTAGACTCAAAGTATAGTTCCATGTTCCCCAGTGGATGTCTGAAACTACATATTGTACAGAATAAACCCTATATATAACTACATTTTTTCCTATACATACATAATATGATAAAGTTTAATTTATAAATTAAACTCAATGTGAGATTAAGAACAATAGTAAACTGAGCATGGTGGCTCACACCTATAATTCCAGTGGTTTGGGAGATTGAGGCAGGAGAATTGCAAGTTTAAAGCCAGTCTCTGCAACTTAATAAGGTCCTAAGCAACTCAAAGAGACCCTGTCTCAAAAAAAAAAAAAAAAAAGTGGCTTGGTGGCTAAGAAAGAGAGAGAGAGAACAATAAAACAGGAAAACTATAACAATATACTGTAATAAAAGTTATAGGAACACAGTCTCTCTTAAAATGTGTAGATCTTAGCAACCTCAGCATACAATTTTTTCTCTTAAGTCAAGAACTTTCACTTTTTTTTTTTTAACTTAAAAAAGCCCTAAAGGGCTTCTTGTTGGCACATTTGATTGCCAACATCATTACCCCTGGGTTTAATAAAAGAAAAAGGAAAAAAAAACAAACTATCTACTGGTTTCAATTAGACTTTACATGTTCCCTCCCTAAGTCCTCCTAAAGACTGAAATTTTAAAGCGTGAACTACTTGCTTTAAACCTCTTTTTTTTTTCAGTTATAAAATACATTAATTCTGACCTATAAAACAGTTCCTAGAGAACAGAATACAACTATAAACAAGTGTGGGTTTGATTGGGCCACATGCAATTATTTTCAATTGTTTTAATTAGCCATCAATATTTTTAACAATCTAGAGACTGGGCTGGGGATATGCGTGCGGCCTGGGTTCGATCCCCAGCACGACATACAAACAAAGATGTTGTGTCCGGTGAAAACTAAAAAATAAATATAAAAAAAAAATTCTCTCTCTCTCTCTCTCTCTTTAAAAAAAAAATCAAGAGACTGCATGTAAAAATTGAGTTTTCCTGTATTCTCTTGAGAAGGCTTAAGACTGGGCCCATATTCACATACAGAACTAATCAAGTGGACCTGAAAACTTGACGTCCCTCCTAGATAAGGCATAAACTCTCCATTGGACTTCACATTTTTATTACATAACTATTACCAGAAGACATGTGAGTTTGTTACCCATAATCTCTTTTGAAAAGTGCATATATTCCAGTTTGCTTCCAAACTTCAAAGTATCCTAAATGTAAAAAATCACAAAGCAAACCACTGTTGTTTATAATTTCATGGTTAATAACTTAAAATTTTCACACAGCTTAGAAGAAAGGATGAGATAGAACAAAATTCAAACTGGTAGAAGAATTACAGCAGGTTAAAAGCCCATCTGAAAGCATTTTGGGGAATGAGGGAAAAAATGATATAAGAACTTAAAAACACTACTGAAACACTAGAAGACCTTCCTGATTAACAATGTTCCTTACCACACTCCATACTTCAGAATCTCCTTTCTCTCTCCTTATATACAATAGCAGCTATTAAGTCATAAACTCTTGAAAAATATTAGAAAAAATTCTGAAACACATTGGCACCTTCAAAAATAACTCCTCAAACACTTTTTTTTTACCAGTTTCAATTCATCATCAAATTCTTTCCCAAGTATTTTTTTATTGCTTTCTGCTTTATATTCAAATGATAACCACAGTCTCGTTCTTTCCGTTGGTCCTGGATGGGCTCTCCAATATGAAAACTTGGCCCTTGTGCTTTCCATTCTTTGTTATATCTTTTACTACAATTTCTAGTCTCTTTCATTCTAAATTTATCCCTCAACTCTTCTCTAAAAAAATGTTATCATATTTGCATAGTCGGAGTAGGGGAAGAGGTGAGCAGGTCGGGAGTGGGAAGCAACGTCCAAATAAAATCAATAAACATTGTGCCGCCTTATTCAGATTGTTAATTTAAATAAAAATCATGAAAACTCCTGAAGTCAAAATATACTTGTAAAATAAATTCATTTGCTAAGGGCGCAAAGTAACAAGCGAATGAAACTCCTAACGTGTCTGGACTAGTGACTTTTCATCATGGACTCCAAATAAGAGAAAAGAGAAGTAGGAAATTTGTTCGGTCCAAGGATGGTCACATTGGCCCAGTCACACTAACAAAATACCAAGGGAGGTCTTCCCTCCCTCAACCCTATTCCCAATTACAAGGCGTGTTAGGGCACTTGCATCTGAAGGAAGGAAAGAAAGAATCAGAACCTTTTCTATGCAAGTTTTGAAAAAGCAAAGCTTTACCATACACGATACTGTCACAGTATAAAAACGTTATTGGGGTCTCACCCTTCTTCACCTGAAGGGAGACCGCCCACCATCTTATCCCCTAAAAGGGAGACGGACAACTCACCACCCTATTGTGATGCGCCCTCCTCAGGATGTCGCTGCCTTAAGCCCAGAGATGACAGGAAAGGGGCGGGGCACCGGGTTACTCTGCCCTGGGAAGGAGGGATGAAGGAATAGCCTTCATCCCTGGGGGAAAGGCCTCCGGACTGCCAACCAAACAGCAGCACCCCCGGAAACCCAAGTCCCAACTCTGCTCCTCGGAGCTGGGTGCCGGTGGCCCGAGTCCAGAACGCCACCCACGCTCCCCTCGCCGTGTCCCGCCGCCTAGACCACTGCCACAGCAGCCCGGATCTCCAGCCCAGATTTCGCCCTCCGCCCCCTTCCTCCTACGCCCCCGCCAAGCCCAGCCTCCCACGCCGCCCCCACTGCGCTCCACAGCTATGCCCATTCACCCCGAACCTGTAGGCCCCGTCGAGCGTCCACGGAGGATCAAGGCGAAGGCCGAGGTCGGCGACGCCTCCGCTTCCTCCTCAACCGGATCCCTCCAGAGCTGGCTGTGAGACGGCCACTCCGGCGGCTGCGCCTACCAGAACCGCCGGGCAGGTTGCAGGCCGGCTCCTCAGCCGCTTCTCGCGAGAGCCCGCAATCAGAAGAGGCGAGGCTAGCCGCGATATCGCGAGAACAATGACTCTCCGCCCAGGGTGGGCGGGACGCCGAGTGCGAGCGCACTTGACGGAGCTGCACCCTCGTACGGGACGCTTACCCTAGGTTCTGACGAGGTTGGGGGAAAGACCCAGTGAGTGCGACCCTTCACAGACGTCAGCTCGGGTTCAGCCGCGAGCAGTTACCCCAGACCTTTGAATCCACATTTTCCCCTTGACTGCATGTCACCGTTAGAAAAAGCGGACAGCGTCTCCAGTCCAGAGTTAGAGAAGCCTCTGGGGCTCAGTTTGTTCAAAGAAAGCGTCGCCCTAACTGAGCAAACTCCAGAATCGCCCCTGCCGGAGCAGCAAGCAAACGTAGCCCCAATGGGGCTGATGAACAGGCAGTCCTTGAGATGGGTACCCTCTATTCCTAGTGTCCGCGGCTGCTTGTTTTTAAATGCTTAGTTGGCGGGAACCGGTGTGCCGGCTGAAACTATGGGACACTGCGAGCAATCTGGATGAAGTATGCTTCTTGTAGGCAGAAGTCGCTAAGTAATAGGACTTCAGTCGTCCGGCATCACTGAGCCCAACTTTAGACTATAAAAGGTTGAGAATTAACGAAACGCGGTCTTCACCCTAGAAGCGCACACCCCGGAGGCGAGACCCGCAGAATAGGTAATCCCATTCGGCTGTGCTAAAGGCTGAGCTGCTCCCAGTGAGCCAGGGGAGCTGAGCTGAGAATAACCCGCTAGCTCCACCTGCCAGGTTGAGAAAGCCTGCACCTGGGATGACATTTGAGCTGAATCTTAAAGATGAGTAAGAGTTATCCAGTTTTGAGAAGAGTGGGAAGGGCGTTGCAAAGAGGATGCAACAAGGAAGAGGACCTGGTTTGAGTAATTTAGTATGAAAACAGATTTTGCGGAAAGAACTTTGCTGAAATCCTTTAATCACTGTTTAGTTCAGAAACTCCCTGGCTCCCACGTTTGATAACCAACGTGCTTTCCAAATCAATGTTTATGCTAAGGAAAAGAGCAGTTGAGGTGGACCATTATAGGATAGTGAGCAAGACCTTTAGATATCAGAGACCAAATGAAAACAAATTATTGTCATAGTATATTGTTATTAAAGTCTCAACATTCTGCTGAATTGAAAATTGCCAATAATATTTGAAGAAGTATAGTTTAAAAAAACAATATGATAGGATCTTTTTATATAGGTAATCTCGTAGAGAAACTTAACAGAAAATCCTCAGCCCCCCCCAAAAAAACTAGCCAATCTTGATTTATTATCAAAATATCCTGTAAACTATGCTCAAAAGAGATAAATCTAGGACAAAATTTATATAGTTAATGAGGTCTGTCAAACAGGAATCACTTTTTTTATCAAAATAAAAGCTATGATTTTCTAAAAAGAAGTTCTGGTATTTCACTATAGAGCTTTCACCAATATCCCTTTAGACATTCATATTATTATATATATTTATGTATAGATAGTTCCAATTGACTCACCCTATTCTCCTTACAAAAAACCTAGCATGCATTAAGAAGTCAACAAAAAATCATCCTAATCATTCTATGAGACAGTTGTACTATTTAATATAATTCAAAAACAGGGATTTTTCCAGGAAACATTAAAGAATCATAATAATGAAAGGTTTCTTGGGAAACGTGGAAGCTTTGTTTCATGCTAGACTCTGTTCAAAGTATACTTTGGTGAGGGAACTGGGGTTATGACCCATTGGTAGAGCACTTGCCTAGCATGTGTGAGGTACTGGGTTTGATTCTCAGCACCATGTATAAATAAATGAATAAAATAAAAGTTCATCAACAACTAAAGACATATTTAAAAATACTTTCGTGAAGTCTGAAACATTTCATGCTCTTATTCTTCAAGAAACAGAAAAACTAATAAAGTTCCATTGTCCTTTGCTTAATTAACCTTTCAAATATTAATTTGGCAATAACTATACATATAGTAGATAATACTATTGATTAAGATCATCACAAATTTGTCCTGACAATAATTATCAATGCTAGCTGGCTGACTGCATAGACTTAGGTTCAGATTCTTGATGCAAGTCTTTCTCTACCAATATCAGTGTGCACACCAAAGAGGTCAATACAGAAAGAGAAGTTTCATATAGAAGCAATGAATATACTCCTTTGTTTACCTTATTACTATATTATAGCATTTGAAATCAAGATTCTTTGAAAGCAGAACATAAAGTAGGATAAGTTTGAACACTTGCTTGGTAAATTCATAATAAACCACAGACCAAGAATCCTGTTTATTTTTTCTTTTTGGTGGTAGTAAGGATTGAACCCAGGGGTGCTTAACCACTGAACTACCTCCCCAACCAACCCTCCTCTTTTTTTTTTCTTTTCTTTTTTTCTTTTATTTATTTTTGTTGTTGTTGTTGTTTTGTTTTGTTTTGTTTTTGAGACCAGATCTCACTAAATTGCTAAGGGCCCCGCTAAGTTGCTGAAACTGAACTTGTGATTCTCTTGCCTCAGCCTCCCAAGCTATTGGGATTACAGGTGTGTGCCAGATAAGAGGAGTTTAGAGAAAGCCTTTTCCTCATTTTTTGATTTTCAAATATGTTCAGCTCAAAAAATAATCTTTATGCTAGATTGGCTCTATTTTAATTTTTAAAGCCTGACTGAGGGTGTAGCTTACTTGTAGATCTCCTCCTGCCTTGCATTTTGGAGCCCTGGGTTTTCTTTGTACTACAAAGTTTATGCATTGCCACCTAATGGCAGGTATGGGGAAAATATGGTACACAAGGGTCTTGGCCAATAAATACACATGTTGTGTATTTATTGGCCAAGACCCTTATAAGAGAAGGCTGGGAATGTTGGGAATGTCCCTCAGTGGGGTCTTGGATTCAATCCCCAGCATACACACACACACACACACACACACACACACACTCTCTCTCTCTCTCTCTCTCTCTCTCTCTCTCTCTCTCTCTCTCTCTCTCTCCCTCTCTCCTAGGAGAAATACAGACATTACTAATATTCTAGTGATGAAAATGAGATATAAGCAAAAAAGGAAAACAAGTTGGGTTTTATGGAGAAGTAATGTGCTGTCATGAGGTCACAGAAAAGAAAGATTACTTTGAGGGTTGAGGGTGTTGCTTAGTAATAGAACACTTTCCTAGCATACTCAAGACTCTGGATTCTATCCCTAGCAGAGCAAGAAAAGAAGGAAAGGAGGAAAGTAAGATTACTCTTTACTGAAGAGATGAAGGGAAAGGAAAGGAAGAGAAGAGGAATGAAGTTTGATTTCAGCCCTAATTGACAGAATTTATGCATAGGAGAAAATAGAAAAGGCATGCCTATGGAAAGACCAATTGTAAGAGGGGTCCGGCGGAGCATCGGAGGGAGAGACCACACAAGAGACTTACTCCATGCAATTGGCAAAAGGGGATTTATTGGGGATCCATTCCAGCACGCTGGGGCTCCGTGCTTACTCAAGAAGGGAGAGCAGCCCAGAGCCCAGAGTAAAGGTCAAGCAGAGCTTAAGTACACTTTTTGGAGAGGGCGGTGGGCTTTGCATACATCAGAACAAATCATCATGAGGCACGGGAAAATTGAACAACAACTCTGAGACGTGATTGGCACATTCATTGGCGGGAACAGGTCGGGCGGGGGTGATTGGTCATTCCTAAGCGGGTTACACATTCAAACTGATTGGTTCGGGCCCTGTGACAAACTGCACAGGGCCCTAGGCTAAATGGCCAGTAGGACATTGTTTTAACTATCTCAGGAATTCCAGGTTCTGGGTGTAACAGAGGAACTTAACAATACCTAATCTTTTACATTCAAGCTTTCCAGCTCAGAAACTTTACCCTTTCACAATAAAAGCATATAAATGACAAATATCTTATAAGGAACTGAAAAACCAGCCTCTAGCTCAGAGCAAAGCCTGTCCAAGGAAGGGGGCGTGGCCCTTGACCTTGGAAAGACCCACAGAGCACTCCAAGGCACTATAGCCACCCTGATGAGTTGTTTATCTACAAATAACAGAAGAGATCTGTAGCACTAGGTGTCCCTGACTCAGGTTTGGTGAGGACCCATAGCAAACCCATAGCCATCAAGCAGCATGAGACAGGGAAATACCTGGGATGCCAGATGACCCTCCCAGTAGTTTATGGTGGTTGATAACATGTTGGGAAATCATGTAGTTCAACATGTACACCCTTCGTGGCTTAAACCAATCAGTTCAAACAAATCCCCCTCTTGTACTAACCAATCACCCTTACCCAACTTGTTCCTGCCAGTGAATGTGCTAATCATGTTTTAGAGTTGTTTTATGATTTTCCCGAGGTGTGTGATGATTTGCTAAGAGATGTTATGATGTATGTGAAGTCCCTGCCTTCCCCCAAAGAGTGTATAAAACTGCTGCAAACCCTAGACTAGGGGCCTCTCAGCATCACCAGTTGCTGTGAGTGCGTGCAGAGGACCGAGCTAGCTCGCATTAAACACATCTTTGCTGCTTACATGGATCTTGGTCTCTGGTGGTCTTTTGGGGTCCCAAATTCAAGCATAACATAATCATATATGAATAATTATTGAGTGAATTTAAAGATACTTTTAATAATTGGAGACTTCAATATCTATGAAGATATGAATTCTTTAAAAATATAGAGGGAGGATCAATAAAAAAACTATAGGTTTTATTTGAATGCAAGGTGTGTGTGTATATGTTAAGGTAGAAATTTAGCAACTGGATTTAAACTGGAAATTTTCTATGAAAATGGAAAGGGTAAAGAATAACCTAAACACTTTTGTAACAATGGTCCACTATGCTTTGAATGTAATACTTGCTGCTCTGCCACTGCAATTTATTTTTTAAATGCCCTGCTCCTCCTTAATCTCTCCCTATCCCTAATCTCAGGGAAAATAGTATTACCTTTCTTCCCCATTTTAGGCAGAGTTATCTGTCCCTGAACACA